AATGGGTAAACATACCAAATTTTTTTTACATGCTTTATTGCTCATATTTACTAATACAGAATTATAGGAACTATAGTTTTGTACACTGATTTGGCCACTCTGCCTTTAAATGGAAGGTAGGAAAATCTTTTTGAAAATCCTGCATCAAAAAACTGCTGCAATCCAAAACTAGTTTAGGTTGGAACTTTCTTTATGGGATTTAGAGCTTTGGAATTGAACATAAGACTATAATTTTATACTTTAAAATGAATTGTTTCTCATATGGGCGACGCGATGGTGCAGTGGGTAGCATGTTTGCCTCACAGCAAGAAGGTAGCTGGTACGAGCCTTGGTTAGGTCAGTTGGCGTTTCTGTGTGGAGTTTGCATGTTCTCCTCATGTCTGCGTGGGTTTCCTCTGGGTGCTCCGGCTTCCCCCACAAGTCTAAAGACATGTGGTATAGGTGAAGTGGGTAGGCTAAATTGTCCGTAGTGTGTGTGTGTGTGTGTGTGTGTGTGTGTGTGTGTGTGTGTGTGTGTGTGTGTGTGTGTGTGTGTGTGTGTTTCCCAGTGATGGGTTGCGGCTGGAAGGGCATCTGCTGTGTAACATATGCTTGATAAGTTGGCAGTTCATTCCTCTGTTGTGACTCTGGATTAATAAAGGGACTAAGCTGAAAATAAAATAAATGAATGAATGTTTCTGATATGCCCTTGTTTTGACATTGTGTCATATAACATCAGGACATTTTTTACTCCTTTTTTCAAATGTAAGGTTTGTGCTTCTCTATCTTTCTGATTTTGAGTTCAACGAGTGACCGTGCAACTGATATTGTAACATATTGTATAGAACAAAGCAAAATATTTATTTATAGTATTAATTTCTAAATTCACTGACACTTCAATTTGCTATGATCTTCAAGAATCTGCTTTGTCTCAATTTACATTGTAAAAGCGCTATTGAAATAAAGGTGAATTGAATTGAATTGAATTGAATGACCTATAGGGTCAAGTTGTCTGGTGGACTAAATTTAACCTTAGCAGCTCACTTCTCCACCAATGATGATAGCTGTGCTATTTTTAGTAGGGTGGGTGGCAGCTGTGAAAGCATTTATTGGCTGTAAACGGACATCGACACAGGCCCCAGTACCATCTGACAGATGCATTGTTTGGTGGTTTAAAGCAGGAGAGCTTAGGACCACTGAAAGTCATATATTAGACGCACATGTATACACATAGAGGCATTTCAGGAAGCTCAAGCGACAAACTGCACAGGCACAAAAAACTGGAGCTCAACCCGGGTGGATTTACTGCAGTATTAAGAAGACTTAAACTCCTGCCATGTGTTGCAGTTATTTTTATGACTTTTGGAGTTGTTCTACAATAATATGACTTTTTAAAAACCATAAAAAACATTAGGGTCTGTATCCGCTTTGTCTAAAGAGGAGGTTCTGAATATTAGTGTTTTGGCCGGTCCTAAATGCTGATTTAACACTGCTGTTGACACGTGAGTTTTTACTTTTTTATATTTGTATTTGACTCTTTCTTTTGGAATGAAAATTTAGGTGTCTTAAAATGAATGACTGGACAAACTGAATCGCACATTTAAAGCTTTTTTAACATAGAGTACTACATTTTGTGTAACTATTTTTGTCCTTTATAAAATTACTGATGAATACATTTTAACTCTCTAAACTTGATTTTGGGTTAGATTTTTTGGTATTTGATTTTATAGACTGCAACATTTATGTAAAATACAAGAAATTTGAGGGTTGAGAAGCATATATGTCATAAAGACACCTTTATAGATTTACTTTTCTTCCCAGAAACAGTTTTATTCAGCTACGGCTATAACTGACAACTTGATTAACAAAATAGGTGGTAATTGTTTGCATTACCTTTTATTAGTCATCACAAGCAAATATCTTATCATATATCATATAATATCATATCATCCTTATTAGTAGTTCAGTATTAAATATAAATGAAAATGAAAATTATTATATCATGAATGTTATACAAGCACACATAAATAGTCTACATTTTGTATTCACGGTTAGTTTGCTGCTTTACAAATTTATTTACAAATCCAACTGTGATTGATGTCTTTACTTATTAATTATACTTAATGTAATATACGTTCATACTAATTAATTGGTAAGTAAATAATCATGTTATCAGAGCATGGGTCATAATAATTGACTGGACACTTCTGGAATTTATCCAAGCATGACTCAAGTAAAATTGACATGATCCTATTACATACATGCACTATGACTATGTGGTGGACTCATTATCTTTTGTGCTGTGATGACTGACCTGATAGTAATCTGGGTCAACTTCTCTAGAAGACCCAGCAAGGCAATCTGATCTAATGAACACCAACACCCCAACTCTGGTCAGAGAAATGTTCTGAAACTTTGCTGTTATTTACATTTACACACTAAAAACTAGGTGCATGGTGGCTCAGAGTCAGAGGTTAGCTTCACAGCTAGAAGGTCGCTGGTTCAAGTCCTGTCTGGGTCAATTGGCATTTCTGAGTTTCTATGTTCTCCCTGTGTTCACGTGGGTTTTGCTGCAGGTGCTTCGTTTTCCCCCCTAGTCCAAAGACATAGAGGTAAACGGAATAAACTAAATTGGCCGTAGTGTATGTGTGTGAATGTTAGAGTATGGGTGTTTCCCAGTTGGTGGTTCATTCTGCTGTGGCGACCCTTGATGAATAAGGGGAGTAAAGTAATCAGAAGGAAAATGAATAAATGAGTGAACTCTAAAAATTGCGAAAAATCTGTGTATGTTTATATAACATAAACAAATAATGTGTCAATGCCATTTAAACAGTGTTAAATATTACCTACTAGGTAGAAGACAATGAAAAGAAGTCTGACTAAAATTTGTTTGGCATATAACCTTAAAAGGATTAAAGAGCACATATATCCATATTGTGTTTGAATTAATTTAATGAAATGTATGCTTGCAGTGAGTGCTTTAGCGTAGAGCTCTTATTTGAATCATGCTAACAGTTTATTTTAGTGTGATTCATGGTCCCTTTTATAGAAAATAGAATGTTGATGCTATGAGTGTTTGTCCAAGTGGCTCATCTTAACATGTTTTGTCTTATGATGCACATGGTCAGCTCTCCCGCGTCTGTATTTGGACAGGCTATTTTAAATGCTTCCTCCTGATATACAGCACCAGCTGTCTGGGCTTACGTAGGGAGGAGGACTAGAGTTATCTTGACTGCAGTAAGTGGACTTCCTTTATGCAAGGAATGTTTCACTATCTCATATACCATTTACAATCTACTTAGTATTGAGCATTTAAAACATGATAAAGGTAGTTCTTCCTAATAGCGTAAATTGGTAAGATAATGCAATATCTACAGTACTGAAAACTGCACTTACCATGTATACAAATGATTTTATTCATTTATTCATTTTCTTGTCGGCTTAGTTCCTTTATTAATCCGGGGTCACCACAGCAGAATGAACCACCAACTTATCCAGCACGTTTTTACGCAGCAGATGCCCTTCCAGCCGCAACCCATCTCTGGGAAACCTCCACACACACACACACGCTCACACACACACGCACACACACACACACACACACAATATAGCCTACCCAATTCACCTGTACCGCATGTCTTTGGGCTGTGGGGGAAACCGGAGCACCCGGAGGAAACCCACGCGGATGGAGGGAGAACATGCAAACTCCTCAAAGAAATGCCATCTGAGCCAAGGTTCGAACCAGCAACCCAGTGACCCTTCTTGCTGTGAGGAGACAGCAATACCTACTGCGCCGCTGCATCGCCTGATTTTATGTCATCAACTGAAAATTATTGTATATGCATAAGAAGCATAGTAAATACAAGTATCAACAAGTCGAGAAATAAGTGAAATATGAAGTGACATAAATATTGTCATCATCATCACTACTATTGAAAAAAAATGAATAAAATTAAATAATAAAAAAACAATCTAAAAATATCAGTGTCCTATCAACATAGGAGTTGACTGAGAAAGCTAGAGAGGAGCAGAAGCAGGAGACGAAGTAATGGAGATAAAGAAATAGCCGAGTTTTTTGAATAATCTTAGCTGCATATGTTTCAGAGACCTGACCAGGAGCAATCCAACATGTGCTGTTATACCACAAGCAACAGCAATGAAAAATTACTGCTTTATAAAATTGTCATTAGACAATACAGACCTTGAAATGGACACATTCTCTAATCTCTTACTCATGAAAACAAGTGTTGCTTGAATCCACAGTCATAAGATTATAACAATATGGAAAAAATAATAAAGCAATAATTATAAAAAAATACAATCATAAAATATAAAAACATAATAAAATGATAAACAATAATCAAATCATAAAATAATAATTAATAAAATTATGTATTGACTAATGGTCATCTGATTAAATAAAAATAATTTAATGAACAATAAATAAATATAAACAAATAAAAATTAAACACGATACAGATGAATGGTTGTTTTTTTAAACAACACACACATAAGTTTGCTGCAAGGATTCTCAGATCTTTTGTTGGATTCTTCATTATATATTAAATAATTAAAAGGCTATTGCTTAAGAATGGGTAAAACTTAATTGTTAGACGGAGAGTGGCCATGTATAATAATGCAAAGGCATAGTTCACTCAAAAATGAAAATTCTGCCACCAATTACTCAGTCCTTGTATCATTCTACAAACCAGTTTTATTCTGTTGAAGAAAGGGTGTAGGATTTTTTTTCATCCATTTAAAGTTACAATCAATTAGTATTAAACTCCGAATGAAAGAATCAGTCAATCAAATAACACTAATAAAGTAATTCATTGTTTGATTAATTAAAGATAGCACATTTTAATGTACAGGGGAAGAATCTAAACATTTTTATCCCACCATTTTGTTATTTCCTTTTTTTTTTTTTTTTTTGTCTTTTTGCAGATCTGGGTATGTGCCACAGAAACTTGTGTCATTCCTAATTCTGATAAAACACAAAACAAGTGACAATAAAAATAAAAATGAATGTTTTTGGTGGTGCTCCACGTGTGCTTGGTTACCCACGGCCAGTTCTGGTGAAATGTGGAACAGACGCTGTGCTTAAATGTCAGATTGGTGGAGATCCCCAACCAGATGTGATATGGGAGCGGAAAAATGAGTCTATTCATCCTGAGGGTCGTTATCGTATTACCCAAGATGGCAAAGTGTACACACTTTATATCTCTGGAGTCACCATGGAAGATGCTGGACAGTATATTTGCAGAGCCAAGAACAATATTGGGGAAACATATGCAGCTGCTACCCTTAAAGTGCAAGAGGAGACTCAAGAGCAGCAAACACAGCCAGCCCAAGCACCCCCACCCCAACAAAATGACGTACAAGTAATTCCACCAGAACAAGATATCAAAATGAAGATACAACAACAGGTTGGGGTGGAAAAGAAAAAAGACCCATTCCAAGATAACAAGCCTTATTTTTTGATCAAACCACTTTCCCTGAGAGTAGATCGTGGAGAAGATGCTGCCTTCTCCTGCAAGATCACAGGCGATCCTTTGCCTCAAGTGGTTTGGGAGAAAGATGGTAAGCAGTTAAATGAGATCTATGAGAGTGCCCACTATCATGTGGGCCAGCAAGATGGTGGCTGGTTCCAGTTAAAAATTTTCAAAACAAGAACTCCAGATGGAGGGGTTTATATGTGCAAAGCAGTCAACAAGCATGGAGAAGCAATAACTGGAGCAGTGCTCCTGGTAGAGCCCATTCCAGAACACAGAGAGGGGAGCATGACGAATGGATACACCAATGGTCATTATTCACCACAACATTCAAGGGCCAAACACTCAAAAGAACCTCACCTGAATGTGTCAAAGGCAAAGAAATTCACAGTCACTGAGGGCAAACATGCCAAATTCCGTTGTTATGTCACAGGAAAGCCTAAGCCAGAGATCGTATGGAAGAGAAATGGAGAAATCATTATGCCAAGTCGAAGACATCTCATTTTTGAGGACAGAGAGGGATATTACACCTTGAAAGTACTGTACTGTAAGCAGCAGGATACAGGACTCTACATTTGTGCTGCATCAAATGCCCTGGGAAACACACTGAGTGCTGTGCAGCTGTCCGTTAAAGGTAAATTTTTAAACTATGATAACCATGTTTATAAAACTAACATACATTTCGATTCTGCATTTTCATATGGTAAAAAATCCCTTAGTGTAGCAAAGTAAGTGCTTAATATGTTGCTGTAGGAAAGAAAGAGAAGTTGGGGTTCGAGTGAAGTAGCTTGGTAGATAATGTTTAAGAGGTGAGGTGTTGGGGTGGTGGAGGGATGCTAAAGTCATGAGAAATTGCAGGTTGGACAACCTTTGGTATTTATAGGGGTTTGGTCTAATGCCGAATAATAGAATGATTGTCAATTATGTATTTGAATCGCTGAAACATCTGTGCATGCTCCTCCTGAAATTTGTTTATAAAACATCACATCATGAAAGACATTCTGTTATTAATGTGGTTAAGCTTTACTTTGATGGTCTCCCTTAGGTAGAATCTGTAGAATGGCTGTTGGGGAGATATAAAAGGAAATGTTACACTCTTAATAATAAAGGTGCTAGGGAAAACCGAAGCAGGGTTTCAAATGTAATGCCATAGCATCTTTTATGCATCCCTAAAGAACATTTCAGAGGAAAGTTATTTAAAGTCACATTTTGTGAAAAATATTTGAATGATTTAAAGAACATTTAGTCCATTATAAAGATTTTTTTCTGCAATGCTTAATTTTCATGGATATTAAACATTCATCAAGATGCAATTAATGGAAATAAAGATCCCTTTGTTAAGAGAGTACAATCTCCTATATATATATACTATATAGTGGGTGACTATATTTAGATATTAAGTCATGCACTGAGCAATGTATCTGACGAACACTGACTAATGGTTGATGAGTGATGAAAGGTGAGAAAAGCCACAGGGCTTAGTGCATTCTCCAGTGACAGCATCATTGCAATCTTATCAACAATGCAATGAGGTATAGCGAATATCTATGGTGCAAGTAAGACTGTAGGATTTTGTCCTTTCCTGGTGACTTCATTACCACAACGTTTTTTTTTAAACACTGTCCTTGGTTTGGCATATCTTATTTTACGTATTTGTCATTTGAAAGTGTAAATGTATTGTGTGGGGTGTCTATTCCTGTTCATGGAAGTTTTCTAGCAATGCAATGTTCAGTTCCAATTCAGACTCATTACACACTTGAAACTGCTAATTAAAATATTTAAATACAGACAAGTGTGTTGAAGCAGGGCTAAAAAAAATCTGGAATTCTGCAGATACTATAGGTAGATCTCATGAAAAAGAATAAGGCACCCCTGGTTTAGTGTGTAGGATAAGATCAGAGATTTATATTTCTACTTATGGAGGGCCAATGTCTCGCAGATTTTATCTTCAACATTTTCATTACACTTGCCTATATTTCTTTAGTCTTAAAGTCTTAATTATCTGTTTCCTTATTGTGTGTATTTTGAGTAGAAGTGAACTGAACAATGTTTTCATCCAAGGTTGTGAATACTCTATGCACACAATTAAATTCTTGCATAAAATGTGGTAACCGTTGTTTCCATCCCATGCATTCAAGAGAATAAAAATAGGCACTTTTTGGAGAAAGTGGCTTAATAGATGGATATTAAAAAACATTGTTTCTGCAAACTGTGAAACTACTTTAGTTCTTTTTTTCCTCCAAATTAAATAAGTTGCACCTCAGAGAAGCTGATGACACACAGAAACAACCTCTGTCATGTTATTTGAGGCAGTGCCTGATATTTGTGAAAACCACTGTGTAAAAAAGGTACAGTAAATATACATTTTTACATATTTTTTATTTTTATTTTTCATTTTTAAATATAAATATACATTATATACGTATTTTCTGATGGTGTGAGATGATGAAATTCGTTCCCTGGTATTGTTATGCAATCACATCATCTGCTAAAGCAAAAACACATGACTTTTTTTGATGTGCAAGGAATTTAGGATTATATTGATTTAAGCTCCAAAAGTGTTTTTATGCAAACATAGAGACTGGCCCTCCAGGAACAGGTTTGGACTTGTTGGTTTAGATAGTGAATGTTCAATCTGAAGTCTGCAACATCTGAACTATTACACTCTTTATTCACTGGGTAAACTTAAATGATAATATAATTGGAAGTTTTCTCTTCTGCTTTTAGGGCCTCCAGTTCGATTTAAGCGAGCTCTACAAGATTCAGAGTTCAGAGAGAGAGATGTGGCTGTTCTAGAATGTGAGGTTCCAGAAGAGTCCATTTCCACCGCATGGTACCTGGAGGATCAGCGGTTGCAGCATGGAAATAAGTATAATATGGAACAGAAGGGCACATGGAGAAGACTAACCATACAAAATGTTGGGGCTGATGATGATGGAGTTTACCTGTGTGAGATGCCTGATGGTGGAAAGACAATTGCAGAATTGGCAGTTAAAGGTACAGTATATAAAGATTAAACATTTTTGAGGCTGTTAATGTTACCAATTCATTTCAATTAATCTTTATTTCTATAGTGCTTTACGATTTAGATTATCAAAGCAGGTTAACATAGAAGTTCAAGTAAGTTGAAACTGTGTCAGAGTTTTAGTTCATTTCAGTGAGTTTTAATTTCCACTGCTAAAAGTCCAAACACTGAAGAGCAAATACATCAATGCTAAACTCCACAAGTCCCAAACCCAAGCAAGCCAGTGGCTACACTGATGCCTTTAATTCAAATGAACATCTGTATTTTACCTTCAAGAAAGGATTAAAGGGGACGTGTGATGGTATAATATTAACATCTCATGTTAGGGCCTACTCACACTATGCTATCCGAACCATGCCCAGACCCATTTCCTGGATCGTTTGAGAAGTGTAAGTGCTCTGAATTGGGCTCAGGCACGTTTCACCTTGGCTTTGGTGAAGTACGCTTGTGTGTGAGTGCAAAACATGCCTGAGCCCGAAACTGAAAGCAAGACGTGACTTTTACGAGACTGTTTCATATGGATTAATTAATCATTGTTACTGTTCAATGAACACAAACTGTCGTAGATTATTAACGACACAAACCCCTTACTGCACGACAGCTGCACCTTCAGCAAACTTTCTAATTCCTGCAACACGAGGACTTTATAATTGTTTATGAGCGTCAAAAGTGGCTGATCTGTTCGGCGAAATATTTGGCTGCGTGTCATCGCATATCAAACGACTTAAACGATAACTAGAGAAATGTCCACTGTGCTGAGTGAGAGCGCTTACTAAACAGCGCATTATCGATGACGTAAGCATGCCCAGGCCGGAATGTAATGTGAGTGCGGGCCGTTGGGGGAGACGGGAGGGGGGACAAGCGTGCTTTGGCCTGATTCAAGGCAACTGTGTGACTACACCCTTAATCTTGAGTAACCATTGTGCATTACTGCATCCATCTTTTCTCTGAAAAGTCAAGAAGGATCTGGATGCAGACCTGGTGCAGTGCAATCTGAGCTGCATCCAATGCTTTTTAATGCACTTACCTAACCCCACCCCTAACCCTACCCATCACAGTGACATCCCTCACTCCATTGAGTGCATTGTGTCTGAGATTGCATCGCTGAGTACTGCAATCTCAGCTTGCATCATAAAGGCTGCATCCAGATACTATTGGAAATGTCTTTAGTTTTTTAATACTTCTAAGACAAAGTTACAGCTTCTCTGTAGATGTACAATTACCTCCTGGATAAAAAGGGCAGTTGGAGGTATGCTGGATGTGGATCTAGTCAGGAGTGCATAATCATTGCAGCTTTTCCTTAGTGACTGACTACATCCTGTGATATTGCTGTAAATATTACATGAAAAAACTTTGTATTCATAACACTTTGATGATCCCAACCATATTAGTTTGATCAACACTGGTATGATTAGAACATTCAGTGCATCATTGATGGTAAATTCAAATTTGCCCTCCCACAATGGCTGAAAAAGAACAGCAGAGCTTGTCAAAGACCAAAACGTATCAATACTTATAATAAAATAATTTTTGTTTACAGAAATTGTAATATATTTACTAGAAAAACAAAAACAATTGCTTGTAAAATGCTTAGTGATGTCTATGAAAGACAAGAGTAATCATTTGACACACAGATCTTACAATGTGTGTCGGGCATACACTTTTCTGGGAAAAGCAACCGTAAAGGGATTTCCACCCTTGGTTATGTAACCAAAAGCCAGAATAAAAATGTATAATAATGGTAAAATAAAATAAAAAATTGCTAAACCAACCAGAAGTAAGCTTTTTTGGGGGGAAAAAATGTGTTCAAATCATTTATTGAAACTTGACTCATGCTTTAGTATGAGAGTCCAACTCTTTCACAAAATAAATAACTTTCTTGAAAGCATGAAATAGACCACTTTTTTAAGAAGCAGTGAAGCCTACAAATAACTTAAAGCATTACAAATAGGGTCACTGTTAAATTTATTTTGATGGTATCCTTTGGGTTTTCTGTTAACTTCTTTGCAACTAAATTTCAAATAACATTCTTGAAAGCAGCTGTGCCCAAAATTGGTCCTGGAGGTCCGGTGTCTCGCATAGTTTAGCTCCAAGTTTGTTCAACAGACCTGCTTTGAAGTTTCTATCATACCTAGAAAGAGTTTGATTAGCTTCTTCAGGTGTGTTTAATTGGGGTTGAACCTAAAATATGCAGGACATCGGTCCTTCAGGACCAAGTTTGGGTACCCCTGCTTTAGAGTATCTGAAGACATTTGGTGCCCCATCCTCAGCCCCACCCTTAAAATTACCTGTCACTGGGGACGTGACTAATTCATAAGAAAGCATGCAAATGCAATCATACATATTCATATGAATTAGCTTCTAAATTAAAAAGTGTCAAATTGTTTAGAGATCATATATAATATGTTGACATGATGTATAGTAAATGCAAAATAATCTAGAAGAAGTAGTAGTTTTTCCAGTGTTGGGTTGCGGCTGGAGGGGCATCGGCTGAGTATAACATGTGCTGGATAAGTTCACGGTTTATTCCGCTGTGGTGACCCCTGATTAATAAAAACACTAAGCCGAAAAGAAAATGAATGATTAAATGAAAGAAGTAGTAGTAAGTAGAATGTTGGTACACTCAAATTTAAAGAGTTTTTCAAAATTAAGAGTTATTAAAATGTATTTATCACTCTAATGACAGTAGTTGGTAAGTTAGTTATTATTAGTTGAATGTCTTTTAGGGCTTAATCTTAATCTAAGTGTTAAGGGGGTCGCACACACATGCGCCTCGACACGACATGACAAGCAGCATCATGCATTTTAGAATTCTAAACATGAATTTCTATCAAGGTATGCACACCAATGCTGCAAGTTGGTGGCTGTCCGCGGCTCCCAGCTTCGACTTAGGAGTCATATTTATGCCGTGACACAAGGCACCTTCTGAATGGTTTAATTTTAAATAACACGCGAATGTACATGTATTGTGTTGTCCAGTGGAAATTCACTGTAAGTTTTCAATAAAATAAATACAACTTTTGACTTGTGTCTTACAATTACTGTAGTTAACAGTGCAGCTTGATGTTTATGAAATAGGAAGATCTGGCTTATTTGGTTTACTTATTTTTCTGGTAGGTACGATTGTGAAGAAACTTCCACGGAGGTTAGAGGTGATGGAAGGGGAGAATGCAGCATTCTTTGTGGAGGTGGAACAAGACGACATGGACATCTGCTGGTTTAAAGATGGACTGCAGTTGCAAGAAACTCATCAAACCATTATCAAATCTTTTGGCAAAACTCACATCCTGGTCTTTGTCAATACATCATATCAAGATTCTGGAACAATCACATTTATGGCAGGCAGATCAACAACGAGTTCCAAACTCAGGGTCAAAAGTGAGAACACAAACATAATTTTATGATTCATAATAAGTAACACAATTACAAAAAATGTGTGAGTTTAGTATTTTGATTCTGGTATCTTTGTTTTTATTTAGCTGCACGACACTGCCCACCCATCTGTCCTGTTGGTGTTCAGATGAACACTGACTGTTGTCAAAATGGTGTCGTCCTTTCCTGGTCACCGTCGCCTAATTTGCAAAACTCCACTACGAAGTCAGTGTATGTGCTAGAACGCCAAGAAGTGGGCTCTCAGGAATGGCAGCGATGTCTAACAACAGAGACGGGTACTTCTGCTGAAGTCCTGGGTGATAGTGTGCCTTGTGAGGGTGACTTCCGTTTCCGAATCTGCTGTGTTAATAAATATGGAAGAAGTGGGCATGTTGAGTTCCCCAAAGTAGTACATCTGGGTAAGATTTTTTTTTTTTTTATTGAAGTTGTTCACAATAATTTGCATAGAATTTATTGCAAAAACAATCTAATAATCAGAAACTCTTTAGGTCACACTTTATTTTGATGGTCCGTTTGATGAATTTACGTAAGTTACATTGCATCTACATGCTAGCTAATTACCATTAGATTATAAGTAGACAGTTAGATTGGTGTTAGGGTTGGGGTTCAGGTTTGTCATGTACTTGCAAAGTTTCTTAAAGTCATTTAAATGTCTGTTTAAGGAGGAGTATCAGCAGATATTAAGCAGACGTTCTACTACTGTAATACTCAAATGCACCATCAAAATAAAGGGCTACCACACCTTACACTTTCAAAAACGAAATAAGTAAATAAATACACAAAAAAGCAGCGTAATATAAAACAAAATGTCTCTAGTGAGCTAAAGGTCTTTTTAAAGTTTAAAAAAAGTAAAATTTGTTTCATTGCATGCTCCTCTATTAAATATTCAGTCCAACAAAGTGGAAGCAAAACCAAACAGTAATGCTGCTCTTGACAAGACACTTTTCTTCTTTAAACTAATTAGGTGTCCCACTTTATATTAAGTGTCCTTAACTATTTTGTACGTTCATCAAAATATAAATAAAGTGTACTTACTGTGTTCATAATGTATCGTAGATCAGTTCTGGTGCCCTTGAGGTGGTGTATAATAGGGTTTGGGGGTTAAGTGGTATGGGTAGGTTTAGGAATAGGACAGCGTAGATGAGGATCCCATGCAGTTTATTTAAAGAAAAGTCTTTCAGGCAATGGTCTAAAACAAGGGCAAACAGTTGCATACAGATAATCCAAAAAGCGTTGTCGAAATATAGGCAAATAGTCAGGCTATGCAGCAAAGAATCGAAACGGAAAACAGTCAAAGATCAAAACACAGCAAGACAAATAGGAAAGCGCTTTGTAATGTTCGCTGTGCAAAACAACACTCTGCAAAGTGTGTGTAAATGTAAGCAGTATACAGTATATAGTCTGTGTAATCGGTCTTTGATCAGCTCCCAGCTGTGTGTGTGTGTGATCATCTGATGAACTGCAACTGGTGTGTGAGTACAGGTATGATGGGATTTGTAGTTCATTTGGTGGTAGATTTGTATTTCTCCAGCTATCTGCATGGGCTAGGATGACATAAACGATGGTCAACAGTATAGATAACAAATGTAATTACAGAAATTAATTACAAATTTAATTACATGCATGTATTTAATCAAGCATAAGTGCAATTTAAAAACATGTAATTAGACAATAAGTACACCATAACAAATTATTAATTTCATTTAGAACATTTTAGTTAAAAAAGGACTTTTTTTTACCCTGATTGAGGTATTACAAACAAAGTAAAAACTTAAAATTAAGAAATAGCAAAGGCATGTTAGTCATCAGACTTGGGTATGAGTTTGTATTCTGCAATTTATAATTCCTGCTCTACATTGTTAAAACAATTCATGTTTGTTGTAGGTGTTCTTTAAAAAAAAAAAAAACGTTTAATATATACACTATAAAAACACATTTATTAGAGTTATTTTTTTCAGAGTAAAGTTTTGTTTATATATATATATATATATATATATATATATATATATATATATATATATATATATATATATATATATATATATATATTAGGCTGTAGTAGGTATGTTTGTGTGTTTAAAGATAATTTCTAGTATTATTTGCAGCCCCAGGTCCAAAGATCAAAAGCCCTCTGAAGAATGCTGTGGTGACTGAAGGGGAGGATGCTGTGTTCTCCATTGAACTCTCTTCAGAATTGATTGGCACATGGTTCCTGAATAGCCAGCAGCTGCAGCAAAGTGAACACTTCTCTATGACTCAGTCAAAGAACCAACACATCCTTCGCATCCGCCAAGTGCCAAATGTGTATGATGGAGCTGAAATCACTTTTATTGCCACTGGTGTACGAGATTCAGCATCCCTACAGATTAAAGGTCAGCATTCGTGTGGATGATTCAGCTTTTTTATTTTATTTTATTTTTATTTTTTTCACTATGAAAGACATCAGCTTAATATTATGTTTATGGGAGGGGAAATAGGCTGGTTTTAGCTTGTGGCTTATATAATTGTAGAATGGCTGGAGTAATCTTGCACACATCATTACAAGGAAATCTGTCATTGAAAGATCAAGTTTTGAGATTGTCTAAATAAAATAACAGATTTGGACAGGACAGATTTGTTTTTTTAAAAAAAGGCTTGTATGAATGGTAAACGATAAGATAAGGTAAGATTAGGTAAAAAGATTTTTATTTTGTTTTTACATCTATTAAAGTCAAACTGTTGTACTTGACAATACTTAATTACACTCTTTTCAACACAAATGACTTGTTTCTATCTAACAGAAATGTTTTTCTGTTGAATTTTTTAGTATGTGAGGTGACATTTTTACCATTGTCAGAGATGGACACCAAAAAGAGCACTGAGTTAGGCAATCCCATTGTGCTTTACTGTGAGGTGTCCCAGCCCACAGCCACCGTCCAATGGTTTAAAGACGGAAAGGAGCTACATGCAGAGGACGGTCTAAATATCCAATCAGATGGCAACATGAGGAGGATCATCATCCATTCAGCAGAATACTCTCATTCCGGAGTGTACACCTGCCAATCAAACAATGACATTCTCACATTCAATGTGAATGTTGAAGGTAGAAACATATACATAAATACACAAGCAAATACATATAATAATATTTAAATAACATCAACATTTTGAGTACATGATTACAGCGCATTCAAAGTTAAATTCATCTAATTATGACGTAAAAATTTACTGTTACTGCATTGTTCACCTCTCAACTTTGTCCCTCTATAGCTCCTTCTCCTGGAGAATTATTAATAGATCATTATTTCCAGGAATGCATTTATTTTGAGATCGTTTAAATAAGTAATATACTCTTCTTTTATTCCATCAGCACCTCCTGTGTTATTTAAAGAAATAAAAGCAGAAGAAAGGCAGAAAAGCGCTATGGAGCTGGATCCTGTGGTCCTGACTTGTGAAATCTCTCAACCAGAAGCACCTTCCTGCTGGTTTAAAGATGGAGTTGCTGTTTTTCAGTCAGACAACATCACCATTCAGTCTGAAGGCAACATGAGAAGACTTATAATACGTTCAGCAGAACTAGTAGATGCTGGGACATATACTTGCCAAGCAGGCGACCAAACTATGTCATTTTCTGTCAACATTAAAGGTAAGAAGAAAAAAAAAAAAGCCAAAACCTGCAGCATTTATTCATTTTAAACACAATTTCTCTATTATTGTATTTACAAGATGTTCTGAAATAGATAAATCCTGTAAATTAATGTTTACATCATTCACCTTTGTTCATGGAAGCTTATTGCCTGACATAATTGCTTTACAAACATTTTGAAGTGCCAGAGGTTTTGTTAAACAAACTTTCAATGTATGAATATAAATCTTTCAAATTTGTTTTAAAATTTTAGCATTTATGTTCTTAACACAAGTCAATTTATATATGTAAAAAAGTAAGTTAATAAAGACTTTTTGTGGATGAGTTTTAGTGGGGTGAACTCTGTTTTGTAATAGAATCATATTACATAGATTTAAATACAGATTGTTTTTAATCATGACCCTTAAGTTGAGTCTTAATATATTGAAATTAAACAAAACCGATCTAATACTTGTTGATTTTTGGCTGACTGATTGTTGACTGACTTTCATCTAGAACCTCCAATTACAATTGTGGACCCAAAAGATGACATACATATGGAGCGCTATGTCTCTGAGGAGATAGTCCTAAACTGTGAGCTCTCTCGATCTAATGGAGAGGTTCAGTGGTTTAAAGATGGCCTAAAGCTCCAAGAGACTGACAATATTCGCCTCAGTGCTGAAGGGCCATACAGGAGGGTGATCATTTTCTGTGCTTCCAAGCGGGACTCTGGAGAGTATGTATGTGACGCAGGAGGTGACTCGGTTTTCTTTCAGCTCCTTATTACAGGTATGTAACAAAAAAAAGTTTCATGCATTTTTCTATTGTCATTTTTTCCATCTGTTTTATTCATTCTTTGTTTCTAAAACAAATGAAGTGATTCAATCATGAACATTTGTTAATAATTAAGCCAATTATTGAATAATAAAACAGTAATTCTGAAATACTAAATAATAAATACCGTGTTCAAATTGGTTTCTTCTGTGTGCTCCGGTTTCCCACACAGTCCAAAGACATGTGCTATAGGTGAATTGTGCTAAATTGGCCCTAGTGTATATCTGTGAATGTGAGAGTGTATGGGTGTTTCCCAGTACTGGGTTGCAGCTGGAAAAGCATCCGCTGCTTAAAACATATGCTGGATAAGTTGGCGGCTCATTCCACTGTAGCAACCCCAGATTAATAAAGGGACTAAGCCAAAAAGGTTATAGTAAGTAATTAAATAATGCTTTTTATACAACCAAAAATATGTTATATTCATTTTATTATTATTTATTTTAATGTTTACCCAGTTGTTATGTTTTGTTATCTTTCTTAAATCCAGAGGCTCCAGTTCGCTTCGTATCCCCTTCTGAGTCAGAGGTAGAGGTGTGCATAATGAGCTCTGAGAAGCTGGTCCTGAACTGTGAGATCTCCAAAGCAGATGCAGAAGTCTGCTGGTTTTGTGATGGCATGGAGGTGGATGAGAATGATAACCTGAAACTGGAAGATGATGGGATTTATCGCAGGCTGGTGATTCCCTGTACAACCATAGATGATTCTGCAGAATATGTTTGTGAGACAGCAGATGACGCTGTCACATTTTGGGTAAAAATAGAAGGTAATTGTCTTATCTACCTTTAGATACCATTAGATCTAGCTTTTTGAGGTTAATATAGCTGTGAAATATGTTTATTGTGCATATGTGCTAATATAAAATTACTGAAAACCCTTAACATGAGGAAAATGTGCAATTCAGTTACCTGTACTATGGTACAGTAGATATGTAGACTATGGTATATAGACCATTTTGAGGGATGTAAAAAAAAACAATTGTTCCAACGTATTTCCTGTTTTACATTTTTAATTTCTGAGAATCCAAAAAGAGCCACATATTGATAAATAGTTTTATGATGGCTGTTATAACATTAATTTATGATTGAATTGCCCTTAGTTACAGTTAGGAAATAGTTCAAAAACAAGCAGGAAATGATCATGGGCCAATGACATGACCACATTGAAATGGTCTGTTTTATTGTAGTGAAGTGTTTATACTTATCCTTGATATAGGATTATTTACAGAGCATTTTAATATGTCAGGCTCATTTCATTATAAGTTGACACCCCGCTCTTGGAGCATGTTCATGTGAAACTTAAACAATCACTTTTTCACAATTTCACATTTGTTCTCTTGTGTTTAAATGTGTTCCACATATTTCAAATATGATTATAATATGTAAAGCTAAAATTAAAAGTAAATTATATATATATATTATACTTGCTGGTAAATATATTTCTAAAGTAGACATTGATATGAATTGTCAAATCCAGAAAGGGCAGCTTCCCAGCATAAAACATATGCTGGAATAGTTGGCGGTTTACTCTGTGGTGGCGACCTCTGATGAATAAGAGACTAAGCTGAAGGAAAAGGAATGAATGAATATTGATGTGAAACTGATCCAGATTTTAGTAAAAAACCCAAAATAATCCCAGTACACAAATAAACCAAAAAAAAAAAAAAAAAAAAAAAGTTCTGAAAAATGTGTTATGTATAGTAGTAATGAAAAGATGCAAATAGAAGCTTCTGAAATCTGTATATATAATTAATGCTGGTAAGATCTTTAAATCTAGGTTGTCTTTTGCAGAAACACATAATAAAAAAAACACAATCAGTATTCAATTAAGACAAGGCAAGTTTATTTATATAGCACATTTCATACATAATGGTATTTCAAAGTGCTTTACGTAAGCAAGAAAAAAAGAAACAAGAAAATATTTAATTTATTATACTATATACTAAGTGCTGCAGATTTCAGCCTATTTATTACTCTTTGTTGATGACACCTTTTTTTTTTTCCTCACAGAGCCTCCTGTGAAACTTTCCTCCTCCAAGCAGTCAGGCAGCATTACTGAGAGTTTTGCAGGTGACCCTGTTATTCTAGAGCTTGAGGTTTCCCGTGAAAATGCAGAGGTATGCTGGATGAAAGATGGCATGAAAGTAGAAGAGAGCAGTAACATTACAATTACAGAGAACGGCCTTACACGCAAGATAACCATCCATTGCCCAACTCTAAAGGATTCTGGCATATACACCTGCAATGCCATTGATGACACAATGGATTTTAAAGTCAAAATTACTGGTACTGTATGGTTTTAAAAAGATAGTTAAATCATAATTACAAATGGTATTTATAAAAGTGAATACACTTTTACTTTTTTTCTCTCTTACAGAGGCACCAGTAACAATCCTGAATAAAGATCAGATCAAGAATGAGCACAAAGTTATGTTATATGATGATGTTGTAATGGAGTGTGAGCTGTCTTCAGCCAATGGTGTGGTCACTTGGTATAAAAATGGCAGTCCAATTGAAGAGAACGAGCGCTTCTGTTTGGAGGAGGAAGGCACATTTCGATCCCTGGTCATTCTCTGTGCGGAGCTGCAGGACTCTGGAGAATATACGCTTGATGCTAAAAATGATACATTTTCATTTCATGTCACAGTACAAGGTAAACAAAAAATGTGTCTTTAAACCGAAGCTGCTCATAAAGCAAACAAAAGCCATAATGACAGACTTTTGATGAACTTTTGATGTCTGTCTTCCAGAGCCATCAGTGAAGATCATTGGCAATTCTGGTGATCCTGACTACCAGGAGATGGTGACAGGAGATGATCTCATCTTAGCCTGTGAGGTTTCCCGAGCCAATGCACCAGTGAAGTGGCTATTTAATGAAAAAGTGTTGATCCCCGATGAGCGCACACATATTGAAAGCCAAGGAACACTCCGGAAACTTACTATATCTAACATCCTCGTTTCTGACTCTGGAAAATACATGTGTGATGCTGTAGATGACAAGATGCTAACTGTTGTTAAAGTTCAAGGTATTCTATTTTCTTTGCTTTATACAATTTCAAACTGCTAATTAAAACTATTTAATGTGATTTAAATACAATGCTATTTGGCTTGACGACTTGACACTCACTTCAATTAAATAAACTATGACTGAAAACTATGAAAAAAATATGTTTGTTATATATATATATATATATATATATATATATATATATATATATATATATATATATATATATAATGACTCTTCTAAAACCATTAAACAACCCCCATTCTTGTCTTAGGGTAATTTTGATTTGTTTTAAATTGACTACTGTAGAAAGTAAAAAGAAAAAGAAAAAAGATGGAAGCCTAATATAGATTTTTTTTTCATCATGTACATTCCTCTTGTCATAGGCCCATTTATAAAAAAGATAATAAAACTATGTGCCATTTGTGTTGCATTTCCAGAGCCACCTGTTGAGTTCCTCAACAAAGAAGAGGTGAACTTGGTCACTGGCTACGAAGCAGAGCCTGTCACCTTGACTGCCATGGTTTCCAGACCCAATGCTCAAGTGAGGTGGCTTAAAGACTGGACTCAAATCAGCGGAGAACGATTCCACACAGCTAGCCTGGGTCTGACCCGCACTTTCACCATCGACCCATTAAAGAAGCTAGACAGTGGAGAGTACACATGTGATGCAAACTCAGATGAGATGCACTTCAGTCTCCTAGTTAAAGGTCGGTAACTGGATACTAACGCTGTTATAGTTTTGCATTTTTAAATTAGTTTCAATTTCAATGCTATTTTTACATTTGCTGTTAATTTCAGTTTAGTTTTAGTTCATTTTGTTAATGGTAGGATTAGTTTAGTTTTATTTTAAGAACTTACATTAACTGAGCTTACATTTACTCTTGTGCAAACCTCTTGGTAATAAATATAATAATTGTTTGAGCAAACACTAAATTTAAAAATATACAAATGCAATGAATAAATCTTTATACACGCACGCACGCACGCACACACACACACACACACACACACACACACACACATATGTATATATATATATATATATATGTGTGTGTGTGTGTGTGTGTGTGTATCACTGTAAAACCCAAAAAGTTAAGATAACTCAAACCATGTGAAGAAACCAATTGCAACAAACCATTTAAGTTCAAAAACTTATCCTAATGAGTACTGTCAACTTAATCTACTTGAGTAAACAAAGCAATTTGATCACAGTAAAACCCAATAAATGAAGAGAACTCCAACCAACTGAGTACTGTAAAACCAATTAGGTTAAGGCAAATGTGTCGCGGGGGCACTACAGATCATTTTGGAAGGACACTTTCTATCCAAGACTAAAGAGGGCATGTGCACTGCACAGGTTGAGCCCTATGTGTGCATGTGCCTAAGTGGGGGTGAGTTGCACGCCTATTATTTGGAAAGTGAGCACATATGATAATATAATATATAATAATAATATATTTAATATAATAATGTCTACAATTTATAAAAAAAATCAATAAAGTATTACATTGGTAGCATGCACTAAGTGAGGAAAAAAAAAAGGCACGTCCTCAACCCAGTTTGTTCGGGATTACAATCTGATGTGAGGGACAGCTCGGTGCTGCCTCACATCCATGTAATTGAACAGGAAATTAGCAAAATACCACAATTTTGATAATAAAAACTATTTAAATTGTTTAAATCATACAGAAATTGCATTTTATTTTATCATTAGTATACATCTTATGATGGCATGTGAGAACTGATGTTTGACTGATGTGTTTGCGCACCTACTATTAGCTGTTTATCTACTGTTTATTGCACAAATTTGGACAAGTCTCAGTGGTGAAGGATGCAAGAGCAGATATATTGAAAATATACTAGAAGTCCAGGCAGGCTATATTGGAAAATGTATAGTCACAGTGAAAAACAATGCAAAACTCATAAATACATGGACAAGGAACAAAGTAATCAAAGAGACTTAAATAGACAAAACCAAATGAGATAGACACACAGCAGAAACCAATGCAAAATAATAAAAGCAAAGATTCATGGAAATTGCAAATGGCAAAGATACAAAAGTCTAGATGTCCTTTTGTCTAGTGCCTTTTAGTGTCCTTCACAGTGTGCAGATTTTGACCACAGAATGAGTGTGTACAATTTTATTATGCAAATTATTTCCTTTGAGTTTTTTAGTGACTTGTTAGTTTCAGTCAGTTTTAGTTGTTTATTTATTGGATTTTTTTTTGTTAAAAATTTTTTTTTGAACAAATAGTTTTAGATTTAATTTACTAAAATAACCTTGCTGAAATTATACTTTTGCTTGTGACATGAACTCATTTTAAAAAGGAAAGTCACAGAACCATAGTAACTCACCCAACATATAATAATGTTAATGCCTGTTTCTGTTACAGATATGCGTATTAAATTTGTGAAGCCACTTGTAGACACAGTGGCACATAAAGATGGTATGATCACCCTATGCTGTGAGCTATGCAAGGCCAAAGCAGATGTCCAGTGGAAGAAGGACGGAGTGGAAATAATTCCAAGCCGCCGCTTCTCAATCCGTGCTAATGAGACAGAGAGAAGTCTCACAATCCATCGTATCACCAAAGAAGATGCTGGAGAGTATGTTTGTGAGTCCAAAGATGATAGCACCAGTGCCAGACTAAGGGTGGAATGTAAGTGTGAAGCAAGGATTTTGTTTGAAAATATTTAATAATATGCATAATTAGTCAACTCACCTTTAGTTTATTTTTCACAGTACCTCGTGTGGTGGAATTTCTCACAGAGCTTCACAATACTACAGTTATGGAGGGTGAGGATGCTACGTTTAAGTGTGTGGTCTCTCCTGATGATGTTCAGTTGGTCTGGCTCATGGATGGAGAGCCAATTAAACCCAGTGATCGCTTCCAGATTGAACAAAACAGCCTCTGCCACACTCTGATTATCCACAAGGTCCAGCTGCTGGACTCCTCTCGAATCACTGCCGAAGCCGAAGGTCTCATTTCTAAAGCTAGTCTTAAGGTCCAGGGTAAGTATGGGACATCATTGTACACAAAAGTAGATAGTTTGAAGAGTTTCCAATCTGTCCTTATTATTAAAAGAGATGGTGATTCCATATCCTATACTACAAAGAAGAAAATTATACTTTTTCTAAAATAAATTTCTATATACATTTATCATAATAGACCATAATACTAGATAAAAAAATGTTTGTTTAGTTTTTTTATTTATTTTTTTATTTATTTTTCATTTTTTGGGGATTTTTTAACATTTAATTTTGAGTAAAAAATATTTTTCGACAAATAGTTTTAATCTTAGTTTTATTTTTTGTAGGGATGGGTCTTGACTACAGCGGTTCGAACTATAATTCTGCCAAATGGCTAAAAAGTTATTAGCATGGTGGTGAAAACTGTACATTTCTAGTCAAACTGTTTTTCTGCACTCTTGTGGAAAAGCGTTTTATTATGTGATTGTATTGTATTTGAAGATGGAGCAGTTAAGTGTTAATGTTAAATCAAAAGTAAATCACATAATACTTGAAAATGAAATGATTTAAAAGTGCTGTATGTAAGTTTTTGACTCTTCTAAAGCATAAAAAATACCATAGTATGTTTGCTGATATTTAAGAAACATGCTAAGTCAGGGGTGTCCTAACTCAGTCCTGGAGGGCTGATGTCCTGGAGAATTTAGCTCCAACTCTAATCAATGACACCTGAATCAGCTAGTCAAGCTCTTACTAGAAATACTATAAATTTCCAGGTGTGCTGAGGCAAGTTGGAGCTAAATGCAGCAGGACACCGACCCTTCAGGACCGAGTTTGGACACCCCTAAGTGAACATTCTTATCTGAAAAAACAATGCTAAAGTCAGTTAATCTGCTTTGAAAATGTCCGTTACAAGCCTGAACACTGTCTTTGTTTTGGTCCCTTTAACCCGCTCAATGGCATCCATTTTCCTAAAACTTAATCATATATGATTTATGAGCTGTTTCCCTCATGGTGACCAAAAAGTGTCACCGTCAAAACTTACTGGTATTGCTATACTTTTAGTCCCCACAGGGGGGTGAACACACATTCAAATTCAATGACCAATATAGACTTGACAGCAGTAATGGAAGGGACTTTTAGCGTCATAGCACAACAACACACTATAACCTTTTTGTATTTACCATTTACATGCAGAGGCACAGGTCTTGTTTACAAAGAGAATGGAGGCAGTGATGGCTGAGGAGTTTGGAGAGGCTACATTAGAGACAGAAGTGAGTCTGGAGTCTGGAGAGGTGCAGTGGATGAGACAGGGGGTAGTGATCCAGCCGGGACCCAAACATAAACTCTCTCAGAATGGCTGTAAACGCATCTTGACCATTACTAATCTCAGCCTGTCCGATCGAGGCACCTATCGATGTGAGACCCTCCATGACCGCACACAGGTCAAACTCAATGTGGAGCGTAAGTGACCAGGAACATTAGTAACAATCTCTTATGTCAAACAAATTAATACATTTTCTTCAATATCAATTTGTATTCATTTTTTATAAATACCATTTATTAATTTTCTGCAGTCTAATTGAGCTCTGTTACTATTTAAAGCGAGAAAGATTGCCATACGCAAAGGGATGATGGACGTTGAGACATTTGAGAGAGAGACAGCGTCCTTCGAGGTGGAACTTTCTCACACTGATGTGGAGGGTGTGTGGCAGAAAGATGGTCTGCGTATCAAACCAAATAATAACTGGCGTGTTAGTTCCAATGGACGAGTACATGGCCTCACACTCTCCAACCTCACAATGGAGGATACGGGAAGCATTGTCTTTTCTGCAGAGGGACTGAGAAATACTGCCAGACTGGTAGTCAAAGGTGGGTATATAAACAAGAAAATGAACATGAAGGCTTATCGGGCACCTTGAACACTGAAAAAAAAAGAAACACACATAAAAAAAATGTAAATCAATTTGATGTCAGTTGACTACATACGTCATGCCAATGTTAGATGTCATTTTAATCATAAAGGTAGTTTACATGCGTAGGGATACAAAATTTGTCACTTTGAACTGAATCTTTTAGGCTAATAAAACTTTTCTTATATTATAATACTTTTTCTGTCAATAGTTTGATGGTCAAAAGGGCATCATTGTGTGGATGTCAAATGGACGTCAAGATTTTGACATCAAACCAGGGTTCTTACCGGTGCTGGAAATCCTGGAAAATGCTTGATTTTTAATACAGTGTTTTCAAGGCTAGAAAAGTGCTTGAATTTTGGACAAAGTGCTTGAACCTGCTTGAATTTGAAATTGCAGGGCTCGAAATTGCGACAGTTTTAGTTGCATATGTGTCAGAAATCTTATCTATACAAGCTCAAAATATATATTTTTGGTGTAAATATTCATTCTGCGTAATGGTCTCCTAAATACGCACAAGCAGTGAACATTTTGCAATGAAAACTGGTCACACGGCAACAATTTTATGCACTCTCACAAATGCAGCCCTTAGAAATTTAAACGCATCGCTAAGAAATAGTTTAAAACAGTTGACTTATAACTTATTTGCATACGTCATCTTAATAGCAGTAAGGGTCTTTTCATGAGCTGCAATATTAGCTCAATCTTAGTGAATGCAAGCCCTTTTGCGATGGTGAACATGCTGCAGTTGCACGACTGACAACATTGTGACGATTAAATGAAGGATTAAGTAGAACATCTTGTGATTAAATTGTGTGGCAAACGCTGTTACCTGCAAACTCCATCCCTCAGGCTTAATAGTGAATGGCTCGGACCCATAATGATTTCATTTGTTACATGAATTTTGAATAGCAAGGCACATGAAATCTCTTGAACGACTGGTCATGAAAGTTTGGTACTACACCTAAACACGATCTGACTGTAAGAAAGAGGCCAAAACTTAAAAAGATACATCACCCATCATTTTTGGTGAACTATCCCAATAAATCCATGCTCCAAAGTATTCAAGAATTTAAGTTAAAATGTCATATTGTGTTTTTTAAAATAGCACAATGGACGTAAACGTGTAAAAGTACATACACCATAAATAAACGTAATTTACCGTGGTTGTTAGGTGCTTGAAAAGTATAAAAATGCACCTTGAAAGTGCTTGAAAAATGCTGGAATTTGAAGTTGGAAAAGGTGTAAGAACCCTGTCAAGCTCATATGCATTTTTAACATCTATTTTTGTTGTTTTGACATCAAGATAACCGCTGGACAATGATGCATCTGATTCAGATTAAGTTTATATGGTATTCATATTTGTCACATAATTAAAAAGGCAACAAGTATTGTTCTTTTATTTTTTAGAAACACCAGTAGCAATCTTTAAGAAGTTGTCTGATGTCAGAATTGAGGAGGAATCTTCAGTCGTTTTGGAGTGCGAGTTGTCTAGGCCAAATGTGGATGTCAGATGGCAAAAGGTACTTCTGCATAATAAAACAACCAAAAGTATATTTCAAGAAGATATTATTTCAGTCTTCAGAACTAAGATGTTGTCTCTTTGAAATGATTGACAGAATGGGATAGAGCTCAAATCCAGTAAGACTTTAAGGATTTATTCTATGGGACGCAAGCGCTGTTTGCAGATCATGGAATGCAGCATCAGTGACTCAGGTCTTTATACTTGTGAAATAGGTGACCTCAGCACTTCCTGCAAACTTGAGGTCTACGGTAAGCATATAAAACTTTATCATTTAACAGTTTACTGTGCTTATTGGAAACTGAAAATTTGCATATTACAGTATGTATTACAAAGAATTTTAGTAGAGAATTAAAGAATTGAAAAATAGAGAACTCAATAATGAAAAAGCTCATTGCACCCTGTTTACTTCACATAAATCTAAAGAAAATTATGTTACCAATGGTGAATTACCATGGAAAGTTATCTTAGATTACTTAAAGTTTACTCTTAAACTGATGCCACTTATTTTATTGTTAATGCCAAATGTGATGATTAATCAGTGTCAATATTTTGTTTTTATAAATATTTTTGACTTTGTATCTCTAATCAAAAATTAGAATTAGACATTTATAATATAATTCACTTACGCCAGTCATATTTCTGCTTTTACCCTGTTGTTCATTTTTCAAAAAGAAACTCTTAATAAATTAATAATAAAAAAACTCACTCTTACAAACATCCTAATATGGTCCTAAAAGTCTATTACAACTTCACATTCCAATTTTAAGAACCCACATTTGTACTTTCTCTAAATTATTTTCAGAACATGAATTAGAACTCATAACTGGCTTGGAGGATCTTTGGATTAAGGAAGACCAGAATGCTGTCTTTATGTGTGAACTTTCCATGGAAGATATGCCTGGTGAATGGTACAAAAATGGCAGCAGGATACGCCCCACTTCCACTATCAAAACTCGTACTGAGGGTGAGGATAAACTGGAAAAAAGGAAAAGAAATCTGTACATAGAAAATTGCTATATTAGCAAAAACAATACCAGGCTTTTCAATCCTTAAAAAAATTTTTTTTGGTTTACTATTTAAACAGGCACAAAGCACTTCCTGCTTATATGCAATGTAAAAGCAGAAGATTCTGGAGAAATCAAGTTTGTTTCCAAACAAGTGGAGTCAGTTGCCTGCCTTGAGGTTGAAGGTACGGCATAAAATAATTAACTTAATAACTGAATAATTTTTTATAACTACTTGAGGAAACCAACAAATCCTTTCAATATCTCTTTTTGCAGAGCTTCCTGTAAGCATTGTCCGTCCCCTGAGAGATCGTACAGCACTGGAAAAACACAGAGTTATTCTAGAATGCACTGTATCATCCCCAAATTGTGATGTTACCTGGTACAGAGAGAATGAAGAGCTGGAATCCACAGAGCATATGGAAATAATACAAGAAGGCTGTTATCACAAACTCGTCATCCAGCAGGTTGCACTGGAGGATGAAGGAACTTACAGTATTGAGGTTGGGGAGCATACATCCATAGCCAAGCTGATGGTGGAAGGTAAGAGTTCTATAAAAGTTCAAAAAAATTTGACAATTAGAATATAACTTAAGACCAATACAAAGAAAGGATTTCCAAAGGAAATGCAAAATTTACTTTCATCAGAGAAGGTAACTTCCGAGCACTTAGCAGCAGTCCAGTCTTTAACCCAGGCGAGATGCTTCATACACTGTTGTTCAAGGGTGGCTTGACAAAAGTAATATGACAGCTGAAACCCATGTCTTGCATACGCATGAGCGCAGTGGTTCTTGAAGCACTGACTTCAGCTGCAGTCCACTCTTTGTGAATCTCCCCAACATTTTTTTAATGGGTTTTGTTTCACAATTATCTCCAAGGAGTGGTTATCCCTATTGCATGTACAATTTTTTTCTACCACATATTTTCCTTCCCTTCACCTCTCTAATAACGTGCTTGGACACAGGTCTGTGAACAGCCAACCTCTTTTGCAATGACATTTTGTGTCTTGTCTTCCTTGTGTAAGGTGTCAATGACCTTTTGGACAACTGTCAAATCACCTGTCTTCCCCATGATTGAGTAGCCCACAGGACTAGACTGAGAAACCATTTTAAGGCCTTTGCAGGTGTTTTGAGTTAATTAGCTGATTAGATTGTGGCACCAGGTGTCTTCAATACTGAACTTTTTCACAATATTCAAATTTTCTAAGAGACTGGATTTTGGGTTTTTATTAGTTGTCATCAAAATCATCAAAATTAAAAGAAATAAACACTTGAACTATATTAGTCTGTGTGGAATGAATGTATACATTACACAAGTTTCACTTCTTGAATGGAATTAATTAAATTAATCAACTTTTTGAAGATATTCTAATTACATGACCAACACCAGTACATATAAAGTGCTATTTTGTCTGATTGACCTATGGGGAAAGTCACCCCTTAGCTATTAAATATTTGTGTCAAATACAAAAAGGAACTAAATTGAACAATGTATAAACAGCAAACCCAAAAAGGTAGAAGAGAAATAATGTTGAAAACTGCAGTCTGAAGGACAAGCCTTTAAATTAAACATTGAACGAAAATTAACTTTTAGTTAAAAAAAAAAACTAAACAAAAAAAAACTTTACATAAAAAAAAGCAATTAAATAAAATTTATTAGCTTGCATATTTGCAGGACACAGACACGTGTATTTTTTTTTCCTGACCAACTAACTGATCAACAAGGGTGGCGCGGTGGTGCAGTAGGTAGTGCTGTCGCCAGACAGCAAGAAGGTCGCTGGTTTGAGCCTCAGCTGGGTCAGTTGGCATTTCTGTGTGGAGTTTGCATGTTCTCCCCGCGTTCGTGTGGGTTTCCTCCGGGTGCTCTGGTTTTTCCCACTGTTCAAAAACATGTGATACAGGTGAATTGGGTAGGCTAAATTGTCCGTATGTATGATTGTGTTTGGATGTTTTCCAGAGATGGGTTGCAGCTGGAGGGCATCCGCAACATAAAACATGTTCTGGATAAGTTGGCGGTTTCTTTCTGCTGTGGCGACCTCAGATTAATAAAGGGACTAAGCCGAAAAGAAAATTAATGAATGAATTACCGACCAAAAAAATCTTGGTTGACCAAGCCTTTTCTGTTGTGCATTTCCCAAACAACAATGTAACTCGCAGCTGAACTCTCATAGCATGATTCATCGTTTGAGAAAAGTACTATGTAGTGACGAGTGTTTCAAAAACCCGTAGTTTCTCTGTCGCAGATCCATCATTTGAACCACGTTAGTTATAACGTAAAATGCCCATAATGATGCTCTAAACCAGGGGTCTCAAACTCAATTTACCTGGGGGCCGCAGGAGGCAAAGTCTGGGTGAGGCTGGGCCGCATAAGGGATTTCACAAAAAAAATCCTCAAATGTCATTATTAACAGTTTTAATTATTTCTTCTGAACATGAAGTGTCCTGAACATTAATAGAACATTGAGTGAAGATTATGAACAGTTCTTCTGAACATGGCATCTTTTGCCTACTCCTTGCTGCCAGAGACTTGACAGCGCTTCTTCTCACAAATCTGAACCACATTTGGCTTTAGAGCGGAAGCAGTTGAGACCCTCAGTATGGCTTGAAGATGATCATCATTAAGTCTAGACCTGTCTAGACTCACTCAAAACTTCCATTCCCTCACCTAAAAAAAAGGCGTATATATGTATAAATAAAACACCCCCACCCCACAGTCACATCAGTCTGTACCAGTCTGTATCTACCTATAATATATATAAGATGCAGGCTGTAGCTAGGTAGGTGGCAGGCTGCAGATAGGTAGCTAAGTGGCAGGCAGGGGCGGGAACAGCTTACCTTGGTTCTGGCCGGTGCGAGTTCCCTCCTAACAATTCCTTTGTTTACACGGCGGGCGGGGAATGCCAGTGACCGATGTGTACGTATAGAATCAGCGGAGCGGGGAGCGCTCTCTCTCCCCGCTCCGCTGATTCTGTCAGTGTACAGCGGTCGGTGCGGGCCACAAAATATTGCACTGAGGGCCGCAAATGGCCGCGAGTTTGAGACCCCTGCTCTAAACAGTGTGGTAATAACTTTTTTTTAAAGAAAAACCCCATCATTTCTTTGTGGAAATGATATTGTTTTACACGCACACACATTTAAAAAAAATCCAATGATATTTTTTGTTAAAAACTTGCACTCGCTTTTCATATTAATTGAAAAATATGTAAATGGCACATATAGGGCCTATGTTTCCTTTACAAATATAATTGAGAACATTACATATTTTAATCTATAAAACATAAAATCACTTACATAAGCTAACACGTATTCTAATTTCATATACAAATCAAATAGATAAATATTGAGGCTATTTATTAAGAATTTAAATTTAATATTTATTATTTACTAGGATATGAAAACAAATCCTACTTTAATAATAATATTAGTAATATTAAAGATGATGATGATGATGATGATGATTATTAAGTAGGATATTGTCCATTTATTTCTGATTATTGTCTATTATATATTATAAGTCTATTTTTACAATTTGACACATGCAAGCCACTGCAGAAATGTTCTAACCAACAGGCCCATATCATGTACAGTATAGATACTTAATAAATAACTGCCTATAAACTAAAAGCATTAATTTATGCTGTTTTTTGTTTTACAAGTTTTGAAGACATAAATTCAGCGTTTAATAGGTCACCTATAGCTTTTGTCATGAGCCATGACTGTGTTCAAAATGACAAATATTTTTAAAGTGCACTGCGAAGGAAGCGCAATTGTAAACATGAAGATCGCTAAAACTGAACTGTAAAAATACTTTGAAAGCAAATTACACCTAAGAGGGATGATTTTAATGTTTTTTTTTTTTTTTTTATAATTCCAAGTTCCATTCCATATCAGAATGTTCTAAATGAATAGAGCATACTGGGGATAACTGGAAATAGAACATAGCCAGGAATGTTTCTAACTACAGCTCGTAAGGTGTAGTTGCAAGCATACACATTTTGCCTCATATTTTGTGAATGTTCATTGGAATGATGCATTTGGGAAACACTAAATTAACAAACTATGTTTGTAACGATGGAACTTGCACCCTTAGTTGGCTTACGGTGGTTTTTGGAAATGAACCCCTGGTCAACTATTAACTAGTCGACTATGAGGGGCAGTCCTAATAATCAGTAAAGTCATTTTTATTTCTGGGTTAACTAACACTTTAATTTATTTTGAGAAACTAAAAGAGACCTTCTTTTGTTTGACTTTACAGCCCAGTCTATCCTAGTGGTGAAGAATATAGAGGATGTGGAAGTGAGAGCTCCTGAAACAGCCTTCTTCCTGTGTGAGGTGTCAGTGGCACTCATCAAGCCTCCTGTCTGGACTTTGAATGGGGAGACTCTGCAGTCGGGGCCCAATGTTCGAATAGATAACCAAGGAACTGTACACAAACTGACATTCAAAACAACAAGTTCTGATATGAGTGGGACAGTCAAGTTTACCACAGGGAAAGCCAAGACTACTGCCAAACTGACAGTGCTGTAGAAAATTATCATGATTATCGCATAAAGGTGGATTAAATTACAATATAAATGGTGTGTGGTCGTATCTAGAGTTTAACTGTATATAAGTTCAATATATGAGCAATATCATAATCATAACAGTGCAATATGGCTGTATATCGGCGCTGGTGGGAGGCCTGCATTGGCTCGAGGCCACAGGCCGTGTTCCTTAGAGTCCCACCAGTGACAATATACAGCCATATCGCACTGCTACGAGTGTGATGTTGCGTTTATTCAACAGTTTGAAAGCATAAATGTGTATAAAAAATCAAATAAAACATGAACAGTCTCAAAAATCTTTTTGCGTGAGGAGCTACTTTCTTCCGCCATTCATTCACATCTGCAGCTGACGTCAGAACAGCAGAAACAATTGCAAATTTTCTATCATCACTTAAGAGCTAGTATTTGAATGACTCTCTATGTCTAAAATTATGACAAAAAAGGTGATTGTGCTCCTATTTTAAGATTATAAGGTTGAACAGCATTAAATGCCATCAGTCTACAGAGATTTCCCAGTATTGCTCTGTTGCAATCGGGAGATCACAAAAAAAAATTCTTAAAAGGTGCATTATGTTGTACAAACGCAGCAATATTTGTCAAACTGTAGTCAGTTTATTGATCTGCTGTCACTCTACATTGGCAGAGTAATACACAAGGGTGAAGATGCTGTTCAAGTTCTGATATTGTAGAATATTGCACGGCTATCAGCCAATCAGATTTGAGAACCAGACAGAACTGTTGTATAAATATCTATATTGTTCAAATATATGTTCAACTTTGACATACTAAAAAAGATGTAGACTGGCTACTACATACATTAGCTCCTTACTAAATAGAGAGAGAGAGAGAGAGAGAGAGAGAGAGAGAGAGAGAGAGAGAGAGAGAGAGAGAGAGAGAGAGAGAGAGAGATTGAAACTTGATGGCTGTCATCTCAATAGATATTGTATTGTATGTAACTCAATGGAAATGTATTAGGAAGTATCATTGTAAACTCAAGTTGGACAGTGAAAAGTTTGGGGAAAGTGAAAGTATTAAAATAGAGGAATGTTTCATTTTATTTGTATTTTATAATGAATGTTGATAAAGACACAATAATGTTCTGTAAAATAAATAAATTAATAAAAAATATTAAAAAGGAAATAAAAGTCAGATGTCCATTTGTTTGAGGAATAATTAAAAGTAAATGTTGACTTGTTTTATTTTGAATTCTGTTGAAAGAAGAATGGATAAAAGTCCATCATTAAACACAAATGTTGCAAATGTTACAGTACTCATACCCAATTTTTACAAAAACAACATCAGGATGTTTAGTATGAAATTGTATTAAATGGTATGCTAAACACGGTATTACAAGATCTGAAAATATATAAATAAATGTAAACAAACATCTACCAGATTAATAACAGTGACATAATATGCACACAAAGGAAAACTACTTTTGTTTTTACAGTTATGTTTTTTTTATATAAATAAACTTTGAATGATCTAAACACCAAAGCATAACCCGTCTTTAAACTTAAAATAAACTTAACAGTATTATAAGTGAGGGATGCTGTATATTTAAAACACTGACGAATCAGCATTTTACTCTGCAGACAAATTTGTGCACTTTCAAATTTCTCAGAAGAAAGCAATAAAATTTTTTGTAATTTTATTCTTTTTGTATAACTGTATTCTTCTTTTTAGACAGGTATATAACATCTTCTGTGTTCAAATTGATTCATTAGCAGTAACTGCACAAATGTGCACAAAATAATATCATATCTCTTTCATTAAAATCATCATCATCATCATCATTATTATCTAAAAACACTGTTCCAAAGTTATTTTAATCCTTTATTGCTCTTAATGTAATATCTCACACCCTGGAAAAACTGTTATCAACCATCAACTACTTTTTTTGTGAGAAAGTGTCAAGTCGAAAATACTCATATTATTAATGTCAACAAGACTTTCCAGATTTTTTTCCCACTCTGAAAGAGTTTATATATATATAGAGTCCATGTCCCAATTCTATTGAAAGTCCTTTTATCTGTTCACTGAGTGGTGTACTTGGTAGGTGAGGCTGGAGATGAAGGTCCACCCTGGTAGACTCGAAGAATAACCTTATGTTTAGTAGCAGACTCTGCACATCTGCGCTGGTGCTCACCCATGAATTCTTTGAGACGAGTGGTAGTAAAAGTCAAGGTCTGTCGACGCAGCTTTTTCAGATATGAGTCATGAAGCCATGAATGATTGAGGCAGTCCTTAATAGTAGGCCGGCACCTAAAGAAAAAGTACATGAAATCAATCAAGTTATTGGGTTTAAAGTGTTCACCTCTTTACTCTCTGTAAAGAAATCAAACTTATTCTATATAAATGTTCAGTTCACCTTTATTTTCATATAGCTAAAACTCTGTGCTTGAAATAATATAAAAATAATATTGCTTAAACTGCCTGCATTGTTGATTTTTCAAAATGACCTTTCATGCAGTGTGTAGCTCTGACTGAAAAAAAAAAAAAACTTCCAGCTGAGTTTTAAGCCTTTGTAAAAATGATCACACCGGTGTGATTTGAATGTCCTCAACACACGTAATCACTGCTTAATTCAAAATTTATACCCCGCTGTGGAGCATAAAAAGAGGCATGGTGTGCTTGCCATTTAAATACTCATAAATACTAACAAAACATTTAGGAATTTTAAAATGCATGCTGTTGTATAGAGAGGGAGACTGTGTGCTGCTGCTAGCTGAGCTGCATGCAATGATTTTATTATGCATCCCTACCCCTAACCCTCACAGTGACATCACTAGCTCCATTGAGTGCATTGTTTTGACACTGCATGTCTGAGAAACAGTCTCAACTTGCATACTGTATGTTAGTCTGCATCCAGATACTATTGGATGTCTATGGAGACAGCAATAATAATTATTTAAAAATGTAACTGGAATATGTGCTTTATTCCCATAAGATACACACTGTTTAGGTTAAAAGAGGTTTTAGTCTATTTTTCTCTCAATTAAACTCACACTAACTTTCATGTATTTTGGGAGAAAATTATGATAAACATATTCTGATTTGGCAGCTCCGACCTCTCCTGCAACATAGCAGCGCATGTCACTCGAAAAAATATAATTATTAAACTGTTTAAAAAGTCAAAATACATGTTCTTACACATAATTATAATTAATTATAATGTTTGTCAACATCTTTAGAAAAGGGAACAAAGACACAAAAGATTATAGATGTATAGGGGTATTGGTGTCATGTGATAAACTTGACATATCACAATGGAAACTTCAAAACTTAAAAAAAAAAAAAAACTGCATTCTCAATAATGTCCACATTAAAATAAAACACATGCAGGGGGTCAGCAGGAGTATGAAATGTTTAAATCTGAAAGTGTACAATACCTAAAGTGATCAATTGTCAAAAGAATTGACTCAGAGCAGTAATATTTTTTCCTTCAAATGAATCTTTATGCATCTAAATGAAACATCGCCTATCCACAGTGCATGCAGACTCTGGAAAACTCTGCGCACCTTCTACATCTCCGTTTAACTGGCTATAATGGCTTACATGCCATATGTGAAATCATTCATTTCATTTTTAATTAATACCGAATTTTTGTTGTTACTACTTGGAGTTCAAAAAAAGAATAGAACAAAATGCTGGTGTACAACTGCAGGATATTGAAGACCTTGACTACTGGATCATATATATTTGAATTGTGCTTGACCTATACAGTATTATTGATACTAACCATGGATAGCTGTTCAATATCTTTTTCAAAAAAGTGGAGGCACTTTGGGACACCTTTGGGTAGAGCTTAGTTGAGTCAAACTTCGCTTCATGGATTTTGGCTTCTGTCAGTTGTGGGTCTTTGTCTTCGAAAGGATGTCTTCCACTGAGCCTATAGTTTAAACCAAGTTAAAATACAGTGTAAGGATATAATAGTTTAAAGGAAACATGTTAAATGTTTGTCTGGCAATAATATGTATGCTGCTCTATCACACTTGTTTTTTTTTTTAGTTTAAACAACCAATTGCTACCAAAGTGACATGTGTATACTGCCTGTCTAATATCCAGGAAGGCAGTTAAGCTAGTTCTATTCAGAGAAGCCTCTGCTCTGCTCTGCTATGTGGTGCTCACTTTTTACAATTCAGTCAATAACCTATGAATAAAATTTTCTAAAATAGTCTTGCGCAGCATTTCTCTTGTACAGTGAGCTGTTGGTCAGTGTGATTCCACCAAGTAAAGCATGTTACTGGATCAACCTCTACAGTTAAAAGTGTTTTTAACATGATTCTGGTTGATCCTGGTACAAACTTCCAATCAGCCTATCAGATTTAGGGTATACATTTTTCAAGTTTAGGTTAACAGTAAAGCCTGGTTTATACTTCTGCGTCAAGTGACCGGCGTAACCCACGACGCATGCAAAGCGCGTGGCTGTGCATTTATACTTCTGCGCGCTGTCTCTGTCTCTCTGCATTAACACTTCCGAAACGCTAGTGGGCAGTGAGATGTAACTGTTCCTCTGTGTCGAGTTTCTTCGCGGCTGTTTTGCTTTTCCTGAACACTTCCGGGATGTACAAGTGGCTCAAACTCATTTTGAGGCAGGAACCGGCGGACGTGCAAGAACTTTAATTATGAGGTAAACACAAAACAAAACAAAACTTTCCATCCGGAGCTCCTTCACGGGACTCCACACTTGTAAACAATCGCTCCATTGGGCTAGCACTGCTCGCGCGGCTCTTGGTCCAAGCGCTACCAAGCCGACCAATAACAGAGCTTGCGCTACACGTTGTTGCGACGTGTAGTTACATTTTTTGAGAGGTGCACGTCAGTGACGCCGACGGCCACGGCGAAGAGCTATGCGTCAACGACGTAGCATACACCAGCGTTTGATGCAGAAGTATAAATCAGCCTTTAGGGTTATGTGCTTCTACATCATTGTTATCCAACAATTAACACCTTGTAATTTTGGGAATAATTGGCAGTTAGAGTTAGGTTTAGTGGTGGGGATTTGGAATATGGATTACATTTTTAAACATGACTTATGCTCTAGGATCAACATAATCTGTCCTGTTGTGTTTAATTGTAAATAGACTAAACTTACATAATATAAGATAGAACTCCCAAGCTCCAGATGTCTGCTGGGGGTCCAACAAGATCTCCTTTCAGCATTTCAGGAGCTTAAAAAGGACAGAAAAAAACATTAACACCAGCATGGCATGAATATGTTTTAAATAATTTTAGTAGAAAAACATAGAAATTGTATGTGCATACCCATGTATTCCAGAGTTCCCAGATATCT